TTGCTGTTCTGTTAAATTTTGCTATTTTGACTGGGGTGAGATGATATCTCATAGTTGTTTTAATTTGCATCTCTCTTAGGGCTAGGGATTTTGAGCATCTGGTGGCCTAGTGGTAAAAAGCTGCGTTGCAATCTCAAAGGTCTAAGGTTTGAGTCCACCAGTGGCTCTGTGGGAGAAGGATGGGCAATCTCCTCCTGTGTGACTAACTACTTCTTGAAAACCTTCTGGACAGTCAGTCACTGGTCGGTTCCAACTCGACAGCACACAACAACAAACTCTGTCCTGAGAGTCATAAGGAGTTGGAATTGACCTAAAGGCAGAACCAGAGAAATGGGAAGTGGCATTAAGAGTGTGGATGACTTTTCAAAGGCTGGTAATGAAATAGAAGAGGTAGAATGCTCACCTGGTAGTGGGGGAAAGCTGGAAAACAGTAAAGACTAAGTCTGTTCATCTGAAACAGTATCAAAGGCACTGCAACTACACAGAATGTTGCTATCCCAGTTAACTGCTAAGCCCGACTTCATGGTATAGAAAACCACCATCCTGGCCTTGCTTGGTTTGAGCTTTATAAAAAGGACATCACTCCTTATGACATTTTGTCATTTGGCTTTTTTTTGTCATTTGCTTTTTCACACTCACCATTCTGCTTCTACTGCTGACTGATTGTCATCCATTATCTTTCATTTTCACCATTTTTTTTTACATTCGCTTCTTAGTGATCATTTCAGTTTTTTCCTTTCTTTTTTCCAGTATAGGGATGAACTATTAACTTTTATAGGGATTTCATCAATTTTATGTGCACTCCTCTGTGTGTGTGTGTGTGTGTGTGTGTGTAGCTCTATGCCACTATATCATGACCACCAGTGCAATCAAGAGAACTGCTCCCTAACAGTTAGGGTCCTCTTGCTAGGTCAGTCACAGTCCGTAGCCTTCTTCCTCTAGCAGGGGCTTTAGCTGAGCAACCTTTGGGGTTTTTTTAAATTGTGATTTGAATGAAAGTTTACAAAGAAATTAGTTTCCACTCACCCATTCAAACCATTTTCTCCCCCTCTTCTCTCCTTGCTTCAATATGTAATGCATTACCTGTTCTGGATTTGAGCACTTTCTTTAACGAAACACTGTGGAATTTTTTGCACATGTTTCCTGACACATTTGAAAGCTTTTCATCAAGACATGATATTCAAAGTGTGGTCGGCTGACAAATTATTCACAGACTTTCACTGGTTCATAGAAGGTAGGCACACAAATTGTAAGGGAGCACTTAGAAATACTTATAGCAATTTGTTACTGCTGGGACAATCAAATATGATCATTTTTATAGAAATTTCATTCTATCAGACCAGGGCATGATGGAATAGCTTTGATTCTATAGTTTTTGTTGAGAGAACAGAATGAGTGATCTCAATCATGAATGTGGCAATTGCTCCAGTTTGTTAGATCTTAAATATCTATCAACAAACTTTCATCAGTTTCTCTACACGTCTTGCATATTTGTTAGCCTTGGTTGTAGGTGTCTTTTCCACACCAGCTCTTCTGAAATAGAATGTATAAGCCACAAACTCCACTTATTTTATGTGAACAGTTCACATAGCTGGTCTATTTGCATGGTTGTGTAATCATTGCCAAGGATCCTTGGTGATGAAGTGGCTGAAGAGCTTGGCTGCTAACGGAAAGGTTGGCATCTTGACCCTACCAGCCCCTCCAAGGGAGAAATATGGGACAGCTGGCTTCCACAAAGATTACAGCCAATGGGGCAGTTCTGCTTTGTCCTAAAAGGTCACCATGAATCCAAATCCATTCTTCATAGCACTTCGTTTTGGCCACCAACCCCACAGTCAAATGTCAGAACATTTCATTCACCCTAAAAAGAAACTCGGGGGCATCTGGTTTCTTACTTTCTTATAAATGCTAACTATTTATCTTTCTTTTTTCTTTTTATGCTGAAATATATAAATATAGTTGCTTTTGTTCTCCCCACTGTTAATTTCTCTTTAAAGACAATCTGTACATAAATGTTTTTGTTTGTATATACAAAATTACTTCTGTAAATGAGTTGTTTTGTTCTTTTAATTTTTGGTTATTTTTCTCTCTTTCTTCTTCAGTTGGGCACTTCAGTACAAGGCTGAACAGAAGTCGGCGACAGTGGGTACCATTGTGATGTTCCTCATTTTAAAGAGTCTGACCCTTTGTTGTTATTGTTGGTGCAGTGGAGCAGAGTATGACTCAAAGTGACCCCATGAACAACCACCCTGAACCCTGTCCTAGCCTGTGCCATCCTCATCAATTTCTGCCATGCTACAGGTCACTGCTGAAATCACAGTGTTCACCTACCTCATTGGGGGTCTTCCTCTCCTTCACTGACCCTCCATCTTTCCAAGCATGATGGCCCTTTCCAAGAAATAGCCTCTCCTGGCTACATGCCCAAAGTATGAAAAGATGAGGTGTTGCCATCTTTGCCTCAAGGAGCACTCTGGCTGCACTTTCCCCAGGACATATCTGTTTGCTCTTTTGGCAGTTCATGGGATATTCAGTCATCTTCTCTAGCACCATAACTCTAAGGCATCAATTCTTCTGTTATCCTTATTCTCTGTCCAGCTCTCTGAAGTGTAGTAGGTGACTGAAAAGACCATGGCCTGAATCAGGCACATCTTAGTCTTCAAACTCATATAATTGCTCTTCAGCATTTTGGAGAGGTCCCTGACAGCAGCCTTGCCCAATGAAATACGTCTCCTAATTTCCTGATTGCTAGTACCAAGGGGTTGGAAGCAAGAGTGGCATCCATTTACTAAACAGCATGCCTCTGAAAGCTCTATAAACTTTCATAAATGTTGATAGCTGTAGAGGGGCTTCAGGCCTTTTGTTCATGAGTCAGTTCTAATTCAATGGCAGTGAGAGAGAATAATGATTTATAATTTTCTATATAAATATACAGGCATATATCCTCATAAGTGAACTGGCCTACAATTTTACCTTTTTTGCACTATCTCTATGTGATTTTCTTGGTTTGATATTAATTTCTTTAAATTCATTAGGTTTCCTTTGTGAGAAGAGCATGGTTGTTCTTGTAAATGTTACATAAGAGCTTAAAAAAACTAACGCATTCTTAGCTAACTTAAGAATTCTATTGTGTATGTCAATGAAATGGAAATTGTTAGCTGTTGTTTAAATATTTTATGAACTTTTGTTGCTTATTATAAATTATGAAAGTATGTTTAGGACAATGACGAAGGATGACAGAAGAATTGATGCCTTCAAGTTGTGGTGCTGGAGCAGAGTCCTGAGCATACCATGAACTGCTAAGAAAATAAACAGGTCTGTCTCAGAGAGGGTGAAACCAAGTTTCTCCTTGGAGGCTAGGATTTTGAAGCCCTATCTCACATACTTTGGACACAAGGCCAGGAGGGACCAGTCCTTGGAGAAGGACATCATGCTCGGGAGAGGGGAGGGACAGCACAAGGAGAGGAAGACCTCGGATTAAATACAGTAAGTGGGGCAGTGGGGATTGGTGTGTCAGTGTCAGTGAGACCGGCTCAGTACAGCACAGCTTATAACAACAACACTAATGGAGAATTTTTTCAGTTCCTTCAAATCAGTTTCTGCCATTAATTCTTTTGAGGTATTGTATTAGGTATATGTGAGTTTTTTATTGTTGTTATGTGTTATTGAGTCACCTGCAACTCTATGTACAACAGCTCTGAACCCTGCCCTATCTTGAACCAATCTCACTGTCTCCAACACACCTATTCTCACTATCCCAGTTAGTTTGTCAATCCATTTCCTCCAGGGTCTTCCCTCTTGTACTGTCCTGCCACCCTTCCAAGCATGATGTCCTTCTCCACGGACTGGTCTTTCCTGGCAACATGCCCAAAGTATATGAAATGGAGCCTTGCCTCCAAGGAGCAGTCTGGTTTCACCCTCTCTAGGACAAATGACAGTCCATGGTATGTTTAGTATTCTTCTCCAGCACCAAACCTCAAAGGCATTGATCATTCTGTAGTCCTTAGCCACTGTCCAGCTCTCTGATGCACAGCAAATAATTGCAAAGACAATGGCCTAGATTAGGCGCACCTTAGTCTCTAGACTGACATCATAGCCCTTTAGCACTCTGGAGAGGTCCCTAACAGCAGATTTTCCCAATGTAACTCATCTTTTGATTTCTTGAATGCTGGTGCCAAGAGTGTTGATTGTGGAGCTGAGCAGGCTGACACTGTTAACAACCTCAATCTCTTCTCCATCTACTATGGTGCTGCCAATTGGCCCAATGGTGAGAACCTTTGTCTTGATGTTGAGCTTCAATCCATACTGAAGACTGCAGTCCTTGACCTTCTGCAGCAAACACTTCAGGTCCTCCTCAATTTTAGAAAGCAAGGAAGGTTGTATAGGCTTTGATGAGTCTTCCTCTAATCCTTAGAAGTGAATTACAGCTTTTTGGTGAACTGAATTTTTATCTTTTTTTGCTTTTTGTTTTAATACTTATTTCTTTTTCTATAAAATCACTCCTTCCTAAAAAAAAAAAAAATCACTCCTTCCTCTTTCTTTTGGATATTTGCTTAGTACAAATTTTTCTGATGTTTAAATAACTGTTTCTTTTTCTATAAAATAGCTCCTTCCGCTTTCTTTTAGATATATGCCTCGTACATGTTTTTCCAGTCATTGTCTAGCCTATGTTTAGGTGTCCATATAAATGTTTCCTGTGCATTCATGTCTGATTCACGATGACCCTGGGAGGTCAGAGTAGACCTGTGCTCCACAGGGTTTTCAACGGTTGTAATCTTACAGAAATATCAGCCAGGCTTCTTTTGAGCAGTGTTGCTGTGCAGAATTGAATCTCCAATTTTATAGCTGCCAGTCAAGTAAAACCCATCTGTGGCACCCAGAAAACCTTTCCATATCCTGATTTAAACATCCAATCCACAATCCTGATCTTTAACTGAAGGATGTAGTCCAATTATAACTATTGAATCATATCTACATTGTGTACATGCATGTAAAGGCAAAACCAATCCCACTGTCCTCAAGTGCAGGCTGACTGAGAGCATTCGCCATTGGCTTTCTGAGGCTGTAAACATTTACCGGAGGAGATTGCGTATCTTTCTCCTTTGGAGCAGCTGATGGATTTGAACTACCAAGTTTTCAGTTATCAGCCTGGCCTAAAATTTACTGCCATGGACTTGATTGCAACTCACAGCAATCCTCTAAGGATAAAGAACAGTCACCTCGGGTTTCCAGGCTGTACTCTGTACTCTTTCCAGAAGCAGACGGCGCCATCTTTCTCTGACTGATGGTCTCGAACCACAAACTGACCTTTTGGTTAGCAGCTGAGTGCAAAACCACAGTGCCACCACCTCTATTTCTATTTTTTTTCCTGTCAATTTTGGATTTTGCTTGTTTTTGCTCTTTTTCATGTGTGTGTTTCTTCTCTTTCTTGTCTTCCACTTTGTTACTATGATTTGTCTCCTTACTGTTCTTCCCAACTTTTATCTTTTTAATGGTTACACGTCTCTTGAGGCTACACTACAGATTTCTAACAAATTCTACCATAAACCAACACTGTCATCTTCATCTAACAATTCCAGAAAATCAAACACTAATTTCCTATACTGTTTCCTAGATAACAAAATTAGTAGCCACTGGACTGATAGGCAACATCATGACAGATGGAGGGAGAAAAGATTGAAACTGTCAATGACTTTTTTTTTAAACTTGGATCCACAATCAACATGCTTAGTACTAGCAGTCAGGAGGTCAGGAGACATATTACACTGAGAAAATCTGTAGTCAGGGACCTGTCCAAATTATTAAGAAGAAATGATGCCAGTTTGAAAACTAAAATTCTCCTGATTCAAGCTATGTACTGAGAGATGGACAATGAGTAAGGATGACAGAAGAAGAATTGATGCCTTTTGAGCACTGGTGTTGGAGAACAATGCTGAATATCTCAAGGACTGCCAAAAGAATAAGCAGTTATATCAGAGTATAAGAAACAGGTATATAAGCAGCCAGAGTGCTCCTTGGGGCAAAAATGATGAAGCTTTGTCTCACATATTTTGGGCATGTTCATTTGAGAGGAACATCATGCTCAGGAAGGTGTGCGGATGGTGAAGGAGAGGAAGACCCTCAACCAGGAGGACTGACAGAGTGACTGCAGCAATGGGCTTTGGGGTGTTGGAAATGGTGAGGGTGGCACAGGATCGGACAGGGTTCAGATCTGTTGTTCACAGGATCACTGGGTCATACTTGACTCCATAGCACCTAACAACAACAATATAACAATACTGTTTTCATTTTGTTACATCCTTTTTTTTTTTTACGGCATGAAGACTTGCTTGTGCAGTGGTTAAGCACTTGGTTTTGAATTTAAAGGTCAGTGCTGTACACTTATTAGCCAATCAGTGGAGAAATACGTGCTGTCTACTTTTGCAAAGACCGGTCTAGCCTTGGAAACCAAATAGGGCCGTTCAGTTCTGTTCTTTGTGGTGGCTATGATTTGGAATTGATTAATTGACAGTGGGTTTGGTAGTTGTTTTCTTTTAAATCATGCAATTAAAACTTTTTTCATCATCCTTTTAGACAGAAAATGTTTATATTTGCCTAATGTTTAATGATGTATTTGCTCACTGCAACTTTTAGCATTAACATGTTGCCACACACTTTTAAATTGACGACCGTGCTTAGAAACACATTTTGCCGTCATTGCGGCAACGTCGTAAGGCTTCTCTTCTGAGGTAATTTTTCTTAATCCCAGAAGTACATAGTTTAGGGATTCTCTTAATCAGAGTCTGTTAGAGGCCAACTATGATTTATTGTTGTTAATTTTTCTTAAATTCTTGAAGTGTGGCTTTTCTAGGTACTCAAGTTTCAACTCTCTGGGGTTTTGAGGAGGCCATGCCCTTCCTCCAAACCCTTAGACCATCCCAACTCCCAAAAGTAAGTTGGTGGATTCAGCATCTGGCAGACAACTTCCTTTTTTCCTTTTCAGGAAATGAGAAAGCTGAACTTGTTGGAATGAAAGAAGGTTATTTCATAAACTTCTAAGAACAGCTGGTGGGAGCAGACTGAGAGATTTTCATTCTGCAGAGACTTCATGGTACCACTTGACCACCCTCTGGTTCCTGGGCCTTCAAATCCAGAACCCGAACCGCCACCCAGATGCCCAGCAGGGCACCTTTTAGCAGCCTCCCCGCCCCCAAGACACAGGGTCTGTTCCCAGGAGTTCTCTACCTTTTGATCCCAGACTCTCAGCTGGGAGATAAGTAGGCCTAAAGCTCACCAACAAATTCCGGCGTCCCAAAAATGTTCTTAAACTCAACTCCATCTTCTATTTCATGAGCCAGTCCAAAGTCAATCAGCTTGATGTGTGGAATGGGAATATTCTTGTCTAACAACATAATGTTTTCTGGCTGGAGAACAAAACAAAACACACACACAAAAAAAAAAAAAGGAAGGAAGAAAAGATAGTAATTGAAGGCCTGTTTTGTTTTTACTTTGAGGTTTGAGGTGTGGCTTCATGTTCTTTTTGAGCTAAAACAGCTCAAACCCTTTCTTATTTGTGTGTCTTCTGTCTTCCTTGTGAACTCACCAGTGGGCAGAGGGCTGAGGACAAGGCCTGTTTCACCAAAACTACTGCTGATGGGGACTGTGGCTTTCATTGTCTCTCTGTTCCTGAACTGCTTACTGTAAGGCCTCTGTTTCCCCCATATGTTAAGTGAGACCAACCAGATATTTGTAGCATTTCCTATAAACAAAACCAACCCCTCAAGTAAGTGAGCTGTGGGCAGAGAAGATGCAGCTTAACCAAGGTTCCCACTGACTGGCCTTGGTCTTCCTGACCACTTCTTTCTGCAGTTAGTTCACTTCCTGTTGACACCCATTCCCCTCCTCCAGACTAACTGTATGGCCCACACTTTGCTGGGTTTGACACATTTGACTCTCAGCCGAACATGGGGGAAACTGCATCTGATTTCTAGGACAAATACCAGCATCCCAGGCTATTGGCAGTCCAGCAGACAGCTGCTGGGTTTGACACAGCAGTGTGGCTAGAACTAGGCTAGAACCATACTTGTGAACCCCATCCTTCTCACTCCCATCTACCATCTGGAGCAGGATGCAGGTCAACAGGTCTCTCTACTTCATCCTCATTCTTCCCACTTTGCACACTGATTGTCCTAGACAGCATCCAAAACGGAATGTCCTGAAAACATACATGCATATAAAACCTGTGACTATTCTGAGGCTGAGATAAATACTGTGTATGACGCAAAATCTCAGAGCCATTGAGAAGGTTTATCTTTAGTCTGGAGTCTAGGATCCCCTTATTACTAGGCCGAATCATAAAACTTTCTGCATTCTACCTAATTCAGTAGTGCAAGAAAACACAGTGCAATATGATACCATTTCACATCCACTGTGACGGCTATGATCAAAAAGACCAGTGTTAGCAAGGATATGGAGAAACTGGAACTCTCAAACATTGCTGCTACTGGTGTAAAATGATGCAGCCCCTTTAAAACAGGATGCCGATTCCTCCAAGGGCTAAACGTGGTGTTAAAATAGGAACCAGTAATTCTACTCCTAAGTACACATCCCTAAGAAGTGAAAACACAAATTCACACAAAAACAAAATGTTTATAGCAATATTAGTCATGGAGACAAAAAGTGGAAGTAATCCAAATGTCTACCAACTAGCGAATAAATAAACACAGTGCATTTGGGTTTATATTTGGAAACAAAATGTGTTTACTTATTCTATATATTGTTGTTGTTGTTGATTGCCTTTGAGTTGAGCACGACTTATGGCGACCCTATGAACAAAAGGCCTCTCTACAACGATTGACATTTATCAAAGTTCATAGAGTTTCTAGAAGCATGTTGTTTAGGAAGCAGATAAACTATAACATAATGAATAGAATAGAATAGAATAGAATAGAATAGAATAGAAGAGAAGAGAATAGAAATTATATATTATTTTATATATATGAATATTCCACAACCCATAAGATAAACTATATATGTGTATTTCATATAGAAGAAAATTACTCAACCATAAAATTAATACAGTATTAATATATGTTAGCATGGATGAACCTTGGAAACATCATGCTAATTAACTGAAAGAAGTTAGTCACAAAAGACTACATGATGTATAATTCATTTACATGAAATATCTGGAACAGATAAATTCATAAAAACAGTGGCTATCTGGGGTCGGAGGGATGGGGAAATAGAGAATGACTGCTAATGAGTAGAAGGCTTCTCTGGAAAATGATAAGAATGTTCTAGAATGCAATGTAGTGTTGGTTGCACAACTCTGTAAATTAATCACTTTAACTGTGTGAGCTGTATGATATGGAAACGATATCTCAATAAGGTTGTTTAAAAAATATAGAAGTGTTTTAAAAAGTTTCCATCTCCCCAACCCCCACCCAAGGTGGGGGGAATCCAGTGTGAAGGGTAATATAAACAAACTTTTGTAGGTAAACCAGTCTAGATTTTTTTTTAAAAAAAGAAATATTTAAAAAATAGATAATACTGCATTGGAATGGATGAGGGGAGGAACTGCCTGAAAGAAATGTATGATTAGACATTATATATATAATAACAATCTGGAACAAGAGGTATATTGTGAAGTGTACTGGGAGAGGAGGAAGGGAGGGAAAGGGTGGAAAATGTGCCACAATGAATGAATAATAATTTTTTAATAACTCCTGGTGATCTTTTTGTGAAATAAAATAAATAAAGATGAGGCAGAGTCAGGGGGAAAAAAGTTGCCCATCTCTGTTTCTCAAATTACTGGAGTTCCCCACGTCTATGCCTTTGTTAGCGCCATTTGCTCTCCCAAGAATGCTTTTTGCTCAGTCTCTGTCAACTGGAATCCTGGGGATGTCAGCCGCCATGTGTCAACCTAATCAACTCACCTTGTGCCTAAAGCCTTTCTTCCTCTGCCCTGAGTTTCAGCCATCCCGACCAGAAATGAATTCCTCCTTCCTGCAAATCCCTTTGCATTTATTTGAATCTTCCTTGTTAGGACATTTGTCCCTGGTCCATCAGCCTTTTGCTGTCTCTGTCTGAGCCCCCTGCCAGAGCCTCCCCTGGAGATCCTTGCATCTTGGCCCCAGAGTGCCAAGCACAGAAGCTGGTACATTGAAGGTGGTATCAACTATTCACTGAGCTGATTCTGAATCTGGACTGAAGATGTACTGTACAGGCTCCCACCCCAAATTTCCAAACTCTCTGAAGTCTCTGTACCTCATATCAGAGTGGCTGGAAACTTTCACCCAGGGAACTGATGACTAAGGTCACCTTCTCCCCCCAGTTTTTTTCTCTTTTAAAAAAAGAATCAGTAAAGCATTTCCTTTTGCATTGTTTAAGCTTGTTTATTCTTCTTCCTCTCTAGAGATTTCCTTCAACCCTATTTTGAGAATGTGTCAAAGTCCTTTCCCAAGACCAAGTAGATTCTTCAAGTCTGTAGAAGTAGGAAGCAGTGAAAAGGAGGGCCCAAGGCAGGTTGGCAAATTCCAGTGCCTGTGACCTGGTGCCCAGGTGGCTGCCGATGGAACACAAGTGTCCTATGGCAGGTGGCTTCTCCTTACCACTAAACCACCAGAGCTCCCTCCTTCCCACGCTAGTTGGGCAAATTTCCACTGCTCTGGACCTCAAGACTTGTAGGATGTACAGCGGTTAAGGCTCCTATCCCAGTTTTAGAAAGAAGAGTGAGGTTTCTGGCCACAGGCGCCTGAGCTCAGGCCTGACTGCCCGCTGGGGTAGTGTGATCTTATCCACACTCCCTGGCTCCTGACATTCTATTCCACGTTTATTAGCTTCAGCTAAATTGTCCACCACACACCTGACTTCACTTCAAAGCAAGAGTTGGAGGGATCTGTGAGAGGAATTACATTTCCCTAGACATCAACTCTGGGTCCTAGGAAACGTCATCAAGAAGCAGGACTAAACTATGCCTGTCAATACAAATCCCCCAAGCTCAGCTCACCGTGGCCAGATCTGCGTCACCATGGATTCGGCCAAAGATGTGGTGCCAACAGGATGCAGGTCCTCCAGCCAGGACCATATTGAGGGGTGATCCCCATAAGCTGGGCATGGCTGTGAGGCTCCCTGCAGGTTGAAGAGGGGCCTATGTAGTAAAGTGCAAAAGATGATAGCTTAAACTCAGGTTGGCCTAAGTTCAAATCCCAGCATTGCCACTTGCAACCTGATACTGTTTTAGGTGTCATCAAGTCAGAACCAACTCATAACTGACTCCTCAACAGGTTTTCAGAAGGAGACTGTCATTTTTGTCCTGCAGAGAAGCTGAAGGATTCAAACCACCTGCCTTTGGGATGGCAGCACAATTCCTTACCCACTAGGCTACCAGAGCTCTCTCACAAACTGCTAAGACTTGAGCAAAGTCACTGGGCCTCTTGAAGCCTTAGTTTCTCACCTGTAAAATGGAGATAACACTTACAACAGCACAGAGCTGTTATCAGGATTCAGAGTCGATAGATGTAAAGAGTGGTACTGAGAGAGATTTTGGAGAGGGATACTATATTTGTTCACTCTTTTCAATGATACAAGCATAAAAAACCTACCCAAGGTCACCAACAAAGGGCAGAGCCAAGCCTTGAACCTGAAGCTGCTGAGCTCAGCCTGTGGTCTCTCACACTGCCTGCAGCTGAGTGAGACTGTTCAGCTCAGCAGAGCAGGGGCCCTGCCAGGTTTCTACTATGTGGACCAGGAAGTGGTTTACAAACTATCAGTGGAAATGTCGAGCACAGCCCTAGATTACTCAGACAGAGCTTGGCAACCTGAAAAAGTGAAGTCACTCACTGCCAGGTTTCCAGGGAACTGTGGCTCCCTCTCCTCATGGGACACTGGAAAGGAGACCAAGGCAGCCACTACCCTCGAGCTTCCAGGGTGACCCATGCCAAACCTCTGCCTCCACGGAGTAGTCAAAACCCTACTGCTTGCTATTCCCACCTTTTGCCACTCCAAGGAAATAAAAATTAGCAGGTGCCCAGAGTTTGAGAAACGAGTGCCATCATTGGCCAATACAGATGTGTATCTCAGTTCTGGCCCATGATAGCTACAGGGCCTTGGCAAGTCACTTAATTCTCTAAACCTTGGGCCGCTTGTCTGCAAAATGGGAAAATTAACACTGGAAGGGGTTCTGAAGAGGAACAATGCAGCCTGAAGCAAACTTCCCCTTCCTATAAATGGCCATAATGACAGAACCTCTCTGGAAGGGCTGATGTATGAATAACATGAATAAACACAGGCACTTAGAGCAGAGCCTGCACACAGCAGCTGCTCAGTAAGTTTCAGCTCCCATCATTTTTGCTACACCAGTGATGCCCCCTCAACAACCCGCTTGTGTTTAACTCTATTCTGTTGACAAAATATTGTCACC